GGGGGGGGGGGGGGGGGGGGGGGGCGGGGGAGCAGGAGGCACTCAGCATCCATGCTTAAAGTGCCCCCGTTGCCATTTTTAAGTGTGGGGACGCTGACGGACGTGATGAGAAACTAGTCTGCTAGAACATGGCAATTCATACTCTAGCAGATGCAATTAATTGAGTCTACTTGATGGCTCTCGAAGCAGCTGAGGTACAGTATCCAGAGTACCTGGGCCACATGTGGGTGAGGTGATAGAGGGCCTACAGAAAGACTTTTATTCAGTAAAGATTTATGCTACATTGTGTTGCACTGTGTGATCTCAATCAGCTGGTAAATGTTGAAAAAAAGCATGATATGGAATCTTTTTAAGTACCTGAAAAAGAACAACAGAACAGCTGATTGCCAAATATGTGCTGCAAATATTTTGCATGGAGACAACATCACTAATATTTCAACACATCGAACTTAATACCACTTCAGGACACACCATGCTACTGAATACAACGATTTCCAAAAGATGACTACAGAAAAGAAAGAAGCAGGGCAAGAAAGAGCTGCACCAGAGCAATTATTATTATTATTATTTTTACATGAAGCACTAAAATGCACACAGAAATTTGTAAGTGGAGAAGCCAGGGCTAAAGAAATTACTAGCCATTTAGTGGAATTTATAGCTCTAGATGATCAGCCATTTTCCATTGTAGAAGATACTGGATTCCACCATCTCATTGAATACCTGGAGCCTCATTACAGTGCCCAGCAGAAAGTATATAGCTGAGACTATGCTACCAGAGCTGTACAGTGTTGTTTTAAAACGCATATGGAAGTTGATTGAAGATGATCGTGTATCAGCATTTAGCTTTAAGACTGATATTTGGAGCTCTGATGCATCATCTGTGTCAATGCTGAATTTAACTGCACAGTGGGTAGACGCAAACCATAATTTACAGGGCGGTATTACAGCTCCAGGAGTTCAGCAGTTCCCAAACGGTATTTGACAAGATGTTTGCAGCATGAAAAATCCCGAAGACAAACGTTCATGCCATTATTAGGAATAATGCAAGAAACATAGCAAAGGTGATGAAAGACTGGTTTGCCAAGTTTACCTTGTGTAGCACATACACACCAGCTCGTTGTGAACCCAGTGTTATCTCAGCGCAGCATGTCCGATGTACTGGTTATCAGACAAAAAATCATTGGGTACTTCAAACACTCGCTGTTGGCCTATTCTCATCTTCAAGGGGTGCAGACTGAGCTTGGAAAGCCTTCCAAGAGGTTACAGCAGGACATACAGACAAGGTGGAACAGCACTTAGTACATGCTGCAAAGCCTTTTAGAGCAGAAACGCCTGCTTGTAGCATATGCAACTGACCGTGAAATCCCAGCAACTCTGTGTACATCAGTGGGGGCTGACAGAAAAAGTAGTGATAGTTGTAGCACGTTTTGAAGAAGTAACACATTAATTGTGTTCATCCTTGGCCTCTGCTTCTGATGCCATCCCATCCATTGTGGCTTTAAAAAAGCTTTTGAGCGAAGTTACAGATTCAGACCACAGAATTAAAACTATGAAAGTTACTTTGCTGGAAGCCATGGAAACACACTTTGCTGAAATTGAATCAGAACCTCTCTACAGCACTGAAACACTGCTGAATCCAAGATACAAGGACAGGTACTTTACTGATAATAGTAAAAAGCTGCTGGCTACAGAAATGTTAGCGACGCACCTGGAAAAAATGCAAGCCTGGAATGACACATAACAGACAGAAGCCTGGAATGACACATAACAAACAACGCATCACCAGTGAGCCCACACTTCCAAGAAGTGCTGAAAAACTGAACTACTGGGAGAGCAAGAAAGGCCAGTTTTCCATTTTGGCTGAAGCTGCACGAAAGTTTCTCTCTGCTCCCTGCAGCAGTGTTGAGAGCAAACAGCTTTTCAGCGCAGTTTCACATGTTGTGGATGAGAAGAGGAACCGACTGATGTGTGAAAAAGCAGAAATGTTGCTTTTTGTCAAGAAAAACCTTCCACTCAATCACTTGCTACGCTAAAGTTTAGGTAATTTATTATTATTACAACAACATCTTCTACTATTAAACTGTACCTCAACATCTTCATTTGTCATTTTTACATCTTGACCTGCACTTCTCACAGGTTTTTTTGAAGCCAACATTGTTAAGATTATGCCATTTTTTCTGATTTTCTTTGTTGATTTTTGTAAAACAAGTTCACTACTGAGTTTTATAATGACTTCGCTGTCAAGTGAATCATTATGTAAGTGTATAAAGTTTATACTGAAAACTACCATTTTAAAAAGTAAAAGTTTTAAAAATTTAATGTGTTTGTTATTTTGCTACAAAATGTTTCTAGAAGCAGAAATACAAAAAAATCTATCCATCTATGTGCATGTGTTATAAATGTAAAAACAAAAAAGGGTTTATTTATGTTAGTAGTTTAAAATTCCTTGCATTATTACTAAATATAGGTTATTGGATCGGTATCGGCTAATATGGCTGGTTAATAATCAGTTATTGATATCAGCCAAGAAAATCCTTATCGGTGCACCCCTAACTTCTTACCACTAGAACTGGAGGAAATTATTTTGAAATTTATCCAGTTCCTCTCTCCCCCTTCTACAATTCTCAATCTACTGCTGGTTATGACAGCCAGTATGTCTGTTCAACATTAGATTTGGCAGGAATAGTTATAGTGTTGCTGAAGCCCATGTCTCAGTCATTTACTTTTACCCAACAGGGAATTCAATAACAGTTTAATAATTCAGAACACTTTAAAAAGATTCAACGCATGCTGTTAGCATCAACTCAGTACAAGATCACTGACAAAGCAAGGCTTATTCATTCATTCATAAAATTTATTCTTTTTCAGCTCCTCAAATATCTTGTAAATGACCTCCCATGCTATCACTGGACTTCTAAGAGCTTACTTGTACAGCATCTTCAGAATTCCCTAAGCATTTGTGTATGGCACCAAGAAGCAAGTTCTTCAAACCAACAGCAGATGAATCGTCAACTTCATGACAGGCTTAACAAAAAAAAAAAGACATAAAATAAGAAACAGGCTAAAATTCATCTTTTTACAATAAAAGCATTTTGGTATCTTAACTTAGGTTACAAAATGCCCTTTTTCCATGGTTTAGTTGCTTAGGTAATGAGGTTTTAATCTTCCAAGAGTCTGTGTGCACATGATGTATGTGCAATCTCACCCTTTAGTGGGAGGAGGAAATATCAATGGTGGATGGATTTTGTTTTAAAATGGGAGTTATATGAAGCTGCTCCCAAGTTCTATTGAGATATCATTAGTGAAATCACACTGTGAGCATGAACACATACAAACCTTTCCCCACTAAGATATTCAGAAATGTCTAAAATCATACCCCACCTCAACTATATACTCTGTTATCCCCAAAGATACAAATGGTAGTTATGCACACTTACTTTGAGAAGAATTAAAACACAAATAAATGAATTGCTGGATAATATTTTAATTTGTTTTAAATTTGGAATTTAAATTTAAAACACTGTCATAAAGGCAACTTTTCCCTTAAAAAGGGTCTTTTTCCCTAAATTTCAACATCTATCTAAAAAATTCAATGTTAATCTAATTTCAGTGTATCCCTTTTTACATTATTAACAAAATGAGCTTAGTTTAGTCATTTCAGTCTTCAGGCTAATGCAAACAACTAATTTCCACATGAAAGAAGAAACAGAAGGAAAGCAGTATACTGTCTCTGTGAAGATAGCCCAGGAAGCATATCCCCTACCTTGGCTCATACGTTGTAGGTTGGAAAAAGAACAGTTTGGAAGGGCTTTCCATAAATACAACACTTCAATAGATGCCAGCACACAGAGCTCTTTGGTCGGTGTTTGTTTCCTAAATCTATCTGCCTGCAAACAACACAAATATTTGTCTTTGTCTTCTAATAGATATGGTCACAATCATTCTAATGTTTTGATGTGCATCAGTAACATCTTAAAAAAATTAGGGCTATGAAGTTTAGCTTGCATCTCTTTAAGATTGAAAATCTAAGTCTTTCAGACAACATACACAGTTTCTTAACCAAGGTTCAAGTCACAATGGTACATGAATAAACCAATCTTAACATGTAGCCTGTGGCTGTGGCAACATGTGATCATCAGCCTGTGAAGCTTTCCCCCACCACCCTCAGCTTTCACAGTGATGTAAGGTAATGTACAGTAGATATAACAGCAAAGGTAAAAATGAAGTAGGAATAAATGAAATGAAGAAATACTAGTGCAAGAGTGACAGTATTTTTTCTCTAAAAATTATGTAGACCAAGTTGAGTAGTGAACTACCATCCATTTCTTCCTCAGAGTAGCTCATTAAATCACAATGCACTGTTGTGTGCCGAATCCTTTCTGTTAGTTCTAGAGAAGCAGTCTACTGGAAAGAATACACTTTGTTCAGAACAAAATACTTGAATATAAGGATAAATAATTGCCAACTGTAATTACTGGACCTATGCCAACCAAACCTTTTTGACTGAGAATTGCTCAATCTGATTGTTTTTTCTTTTGAAAAGCTTCTGAACTTCCTTGAATACATTCTGTGCACCATTCACATCACCAGTGGCTCCTTGACACACTGTAATAAAGCATATACAAAGAAAAACAATTCTGCTAATTGTCCCAGGAGATGGAAAAAAGGGAAAATGCAGATAGGACATTATGAAGTTAAAGGAAAAAGAGCATGATCTTGTGACAGAGATGGGACTGGGACTAAGGCAAACTATTAAACCCAGTGCTACCACCAGCTTCTTTATTTAATCTTTGGCAAAACAATATCTTGGTACCTCAGTTCCTCATCCGCAAAAAAGGAGAGAACATCTAACTTTCAGGTTTAACATAAAACATTCTTTTATTATAATCATGAGGATCAAATCGCTACATAAACAGAATTTGAGCCACAGCTTTGTAAAAGAGAAGAATTAGAATGACAAAATGCTAAGTGTGCTGGTAATTCCCACAACTGCAGGAGTCCATGGTCAAAGACTTGCTTTAATATACACACAACTGCTAATTGTAGTGAGATAAAATACTAACCTGCTGTTAGATAAGCATAATAGCACTGGGACCACCTTGATTCATTTTTAAGTCTTTCAAAAGATTCAAATGCATCTTTGAAATTCATTTCTATCATGCTGCACCAGCCTAAAAAATGAGAACAATTTAAATACCACAGAACACACATGAACTTTACATGGTGTAAGCAACTGTACATAACACATAAAAGTAAAGAACTCTTATGTTTCTTAGCATCTACACTTGTGACTAGTCAATAAGCACAAAGCCGATCCAAATAATTGTGTATTTAACAAATAAGTGTAAAAATGCTACAAGTATATTTCAAACTGATTTTTTTAAGTTTATACATAAATACTTGGATGCAGCTGCTATGTAAGCAAATAAATACATTTCAGAGATTAGATCAACTCTAGTTCTATGAATGAACACGTTTCCAGAGTTTTAAGCCAAATGAATATATTTGCACCTTATTCAATTCTGTAGGTAGTACATAGCTGCCCCACACACCTTCAGTTTGCCTTTCACTAGCAGCACTTCTAAGTTACATGCCTGCACGTGTGAAAAATAATATATATATATTATTCATATAGTCGGAAGCAATTGGAGAGTTCCAGTCTTTAGCTGTGCAGAAAGGAATGAATGCGAGTAACATCAGGCCCTCTGTGTTCTGAAACTGCATAAAGATTATTAATCCTCAGCAAGGGAATGATTCCATGGATGAAGCAGGCCTTTTACTCTCTACCCACTTCATGAAACTTCCAGAGGAAAATGGCAGATTACAGATTTTCCAGCTCAGATTCATGCAGCCTACCTGACTCCGTTGTGGTTTCTACACCACAAAATCATAGAGTCCAACAGGCTGTATGTACAGTTGTCAAATCCTACCATGAAATTAAGACACTCAAGAGTCAGGCTGCACTCAGATGCAGCCCTTGCATCCCCATAAACATTTATATGGTGGCACAAAGTCCAAGGAAACAGACAACCATGCCCCTTGGCACACCGTAAATGCTCCAATAGGTGCCAGTTTTTTTGCTTTATGGAAGCACAATGTGGGCAGCCCAGAACTGCCCATACTCTCCAGTCATCCTGGGCAGTGTTCCTGGGGCTTCAGGGGCCTGATCCTGAGTACCCAAGGAATTACCTTGCAGGATTGGGCCCCTAAAGCCTCAGGAGCACCCTCTGGGTTTCCCTGCTTACAGACACACAGCAGGGGATTCACTCGGTGTACATATCACATTACTGTCCCCCAACTCTAGGCATGCATCAGCATTCCCCTAGGGATTCCCAGCTTACAGAGGCACATCCTGAGTTGGGGAGCAGCAGTGCAAGATGTGTGCCCAGGGAATCCCCATTTGGGCTAAGTACAGACAGTCAAATATCCCACAGCTGAATCAATTCAATCTTTTCAGGTTAATCTAAGATGCATAGATTAAACTGATAAGCAAGTGAACAAACATTTGCTTTTGATTACAGGAGTGGGGGGGGGTACAGGGGGGGAGTGTACTCGAGCACAACTTCCTGCTTGGCTAGAGCAGACTGCTTGAATCTGGAGGGGATCTGGGACAAAAGTTCAATAAACCAACTGAACCTAAATCAGTTAAGACTGATGCTACATCCATCCAGGTTTATCATAAAACTGGTTTTGGACATTTAGCAAACAGTTTATGTGCACTGAACTTCTGTTGTGTTACAGATTTGACCTGGTCATTTCTGTCCCTAGCCTTGAAGTTGTGCCACAGGATCAGGCCCCTGACCCTGAAGCCCCAAGCACATCAGGGGCCTGACCCTGTGGGACAATAGGTAATGTCCATCTTGCCCAATGAAGCAAAGCAGCTGTGCTGGGACATATCCATGCACAGCTGATCTCTCTCCAAGGACATCTGTTTATAGCCTTAGTGTAGTTCAAGGTTTCAACTAACAAAAAAAAACCATTAACTACAGAAGGCCAGTTCATGTGATCCTGTCATTATTACTATTTAATCAAAATCTAAGAGCAGGATATATGTACGGTACTCAAACTGTTATTTACCAATTTCATATAGGCAGACATGCTGGATCTCCCTTTGATCTGTTGCAAGTTCCAAAGCAGTATGGAAGGAAGTCAAGGCACTGTTGATTTGACACTACAAAAAAAAAAAAAAAAAAAAAAAA